GGAGCCCCACTCGGGGCTCAATCCCAGGACCCCGGATCATGACCCAGCTGAAGGCAGACAATTAACCAAATGAGCCACCCAGGTGCCCCACTTCACCTAAATTTTTAAATGCATCAGCATGAAGTTATTTATAATACCTTCCCAAAAGATTTTTAATGAATGCAGAAGCAGTGAGTGAGGAGGTCTCCATTTCATTTCTGATATTTGTGCCGGCACACTTTTTTCTTTGTCTTGCTGGAGATTTTTCTTCTCAAAGAAGCAATTCTTAACTTTGTTAATCCTATTATGTTTGCTTTCTATGCCAATAAATTAAGCTCTTTATGTTTTTTCTTCCTTCTTTGTGCTTAATTTATAGTTTTTATAACTTGAGATAAATGCTTCACTCATTTTTAGCCTTATTTCTTTCTAATAAATTAAGATATTAAGTCCCCTCTAAGCACAGCTTCATGCCTCACAAACTTTGATGTTCTATTTTCGTAATAAAAGTTTTTCTAACTTCCATTGTGATTTCTTCCTTAATTCAAGATTACTGTGGAGTATGTTTTATAGTTTCTAAACATGAGATTTTTTAAAATCTTTTTTCCTAGCTTATTTTCCTTTTTTTTTTTTTTCCTAAAGTAAGCTTTATGCTCCGGATGCATGGGTGGCTCAGTCGGTTAAGCATCTGCCTTCAGCTTGTCATGGTCCTGGGGTCCTGGGATCAAATCCTCCATCGGGCTCCCTACTCCGCAGGGAGCCTGCTTCTCCTCCTGCCTCTACCTCTCTCTCTCTCTCATGAATAAATAAAATCTTTAAAAATTAATTAATTAATTAATTAATTAAGCTTTATGCCCAACATGGAACTTAAACTTACAGCCTGAGATCACGAGTCGCATGCTCCACTGACAGATCCAGCCAGGCAACCCCCCTAGTTTATTTATGGTCAGAGAATATACTCTATCGTTAATAATTTTTTGACACTTTAAACTTACTTTCTATTAAGCATGTGGCCAACTTTTGAAATATCCAACATGTACATGAAAAAAACATTATGTATTGGTTGAGTACAGCAACCTATACATGGTGCTTAGTTCTATTGTATTTTCTATAACCCTATCAGCTATTTTTTTATGACTGTAATCTTCTAGGATTGTGCATTTCTCTATTTCTCCTTGTTTTCTGATAAATTTAGAAGCCATTGAGTTCTATAAATTTAAAATGGCTAAACATTTCTGGTGAATTTGTCCTTTTCTCATTATCAACTGTCTCTCTTTACTACTAATTAGTTTTTTGCCTGAAATTGTTTGCTATTAATATAGCCACAATATCTTTCTTTTGTTTAGTGTTTATATATCTTTCTTCATCCTTTCACTTTTCACCTTTCTGTATCTTTACATTTTGTGTCTCTCTTGTATATATCTGGGTTTTATCATTATCTGAAAATGTCTTTTATTGGAGGATCTTACCCCCATTTACACTTACTGCAATTTCTGATCCATTTGGATTTAAAATGTACCACCTCGCCAGTTGTTTTCCCTGTCACTTTTCCTTTTTTTTCTGTTTTGCTTTCTTTTAGGTTGAGTACCTTTTTTTCCTGTTGTTCCATTTCATACCATTAGTATTTAGTAATACACTTTACAAACCTTTCAGTGTGGTAAATATTACACCCCTAAATATTACACCATGCAACTCTGAATGTTCAAAATGACAGCTTAACCTTTCCTTAGACATAAGGACCTTAAAACACTTTTCCATTTATCCCCCTCAACTTACATGCAACTGTTTTCATGTACTTTGATCCTCCATTTTTTTAAACCCTCGAAGACATTATTTTTGTTTTAAAATCACTATTAATTTAGGGGCGCCTGGGTGGCTCAGTCATTAAGTGGCTGCCTTTGGCTCAGGTGATGATCCCAGGGTCCTGGGATTGAGCCCCACATTGGGCTCCCTGCTCGGCAAGAAGCCTGCTTCTCCCTCTCCCATTCCCCCTGCTTGTGTTCCCTCTCTCTCTCTCTCTGTCAAATAAATAAAATCTTTAAAAAAATAATAAAAAATAAAATCACTATTAATTTAAAGCCCCATATTTATCCTGTTGTTCATCATTTCTTCTTGCATCTTCAAGCTTCTATCTAGTATCATTTTCCTTCTGCTTAATGACATCATTTTTGTGTAGTTTATTAGGAAAAATTTCTCACTTTTTGTGTGAAATTTTATCTTTCGAACTTTTTTTTTTAAAAGATTTTATTTATTTATTTGCGAGAGAGAATGAGAGACAGAGAGCACGAGAGGGAGGAGGGTCAGAGGGAGAAGCAGACTCCCCACTGAGCAGGGAGCCCGATGCAGGACTCGATCCCGGGACTCCAGGATCATGACCTGAGCCGAAGGCAGTCGCTTAACCGACTGAGCCACCCAGGTGCCCACCTTTCAAACTCTTATTAAGGACATTTTTACTTTATGCAGAACTCTAGATTAGCAGTTATTTTATTCCATCACTTTGAAGGTGCCATTCCACTGTCTTCTGATTGCCATTGTTTTTATTTTTTTTTTTTAAAGATTTTTATTTTATTTATTTGACAGAGAAAGAGATAGCGAGAGCAGGAACACAAGCAGGGGGAGTGGGAGAGGGAGAAGCAGGCTTCCCGCTGAGCGGGGAGCCCAATGCGGGGCTTGATCCCAGGACCCTGGGATCATGACCTGAGCTGAAGGCAGTCGCTTAACCAACTGAGCCACCCAGGCGCCCCAATTGCCATTGTTTTTATTGAGTAGTCAGTTGCCACATATTTAGTACTCTGAACCATGCCTTATTCCTTTCACTGCCCTAGACATTTATTTTTTCTAGTTTTCAATGGTAATATTTGCATAATTTTCTGAATATATTTTGTTTAAGGTTTGTGGGACTTCCAAAACCTGTAGCTCGATGATTTTCATTTTAGAAATTTCTTAAGCAGTAACTCCAAATATTCCTTTTTTCTCTTTCTGGGACTACAGTTACATTAAAGTTAGCCCATCTCTCTGTTATATTCTTCTTTTTTTTTTTTTAAAGATTTTATTTATTTAACAGAGAGAGACACAGCGAGAGAGGGAACACAAGCAGGGGGAGTGGGAGAGAGAGAAGCAGGCTTCCCGCGGAGCAGGGAGCCCGATGCGGGGCCTGATCCCAGGACCCCGGGATCATGACCTGAGCTGAAGGTAGACCTTTAATGACTGAGCCACCCAGGCGCCCCTCTTTTCTGGTTCTTTTCCATCCTTTGGATTCTCTATACATCATTCTGAATTTTTTTCTTCTGACCAAACTTAATTCACTATTCCTACAGTTATATTTCACCTGATGTTAAACTCATTCACTAAATTCTTAATTTTAGCTTTGTTTTTGTTTTTTAAATTCCTAATTCCCTACTGAATTTTGTTCAAAAATTTAACAGTAGAATGAGAGAAGCAAGTAAGTACAGTAAAACATACATAATATTAGTCGGTACAATGTATAGGACAACATGAAAGTAGGCAGGGAAATACTTCAATGGGCACCTAAAGCTTAAGTTGAGTTGGAAATCTATATGAATGAATCTGGGAGGGAGGGGGATCACCATGAGCTTCAGTATAAAAACATGAGGTATATTCCCCACATGTTTGGGGCATTACAAATTGATATGACTAAATTTAGGGACAGACTAGGTAGGTGGAGAGTAACAGAGCAAGATGAAGCTCAAAAAGAAGGCAAGAGCCAGATCACAAAAGATCTTACACACTAGATGAAGAGTTTGTACTTCACACTGTAAGTAAGGGGCAAGGAGGAGGTTAATATTAAAGATTAACAAAGAGAAAACAACAAATTTATTCTAGAAAGACCATTCAGGCAGAATTATGGGAAAAGGTTTCAAGACAAAATAAGTCATAGATCAATAAGTAAACCTACTGGAATAATCGAGGCCAGAGAAGACCAGAACCAGAATCACAGCACCAATATAGAAGGTTGTACCCAGGGGCACCTGGGTGGCTCAGATGGTTAAGCATCTGCCTTCAGCTCAGGTCATGATCCCAGAGTCCTGGGATCAAGCCCCGCATCAGGCTCCCTGCTCTGTGGGAAGCCTGCTTCTCCCTCTTCTGCTCTCCCTGCTTGTGTTCTGTCTCTGGGCTGTCTCTCTCTCTGTCAAATAAATAAAATCTTAAAAAAAAAAAAAGGATGTACCCAGTCTTCAGTGACTGAATATGAAGAGAAAATAAGGTCCAATCCCAGCTTTCAAGCACTAGTCACAGAGGTAAATGTTCAGAACATTTAAGAAAAAGATCACAAAAGATAATGCCATCTCACTTAGATCTCTTGCAGTAAAAGAGTTATGCAAGTTTACAGAAGAGGCAAAATCTGTGTTGTGCCTTGAATTCTGATTATCATCCTTCAAACACAATGACAAAGATTTTAAAAATATTTTTTACTATATCTATATCATAATTGTACATATGTATTTCTCTTCTAGGTATTTTTCTATTATGTTATTTTAATTAAAACAAAACACCATGTTTTTTTCTTACTTAAGTATTTGTTTAATGTTTTAAAACTTAAGACACTTTAGGGCATCTGTCTGGCTCAGTCCATAGAGCATACAACTCCTGATCTCATGGTCAGGAATTCAAGCCCCAGATTGGGTGTAGAGGTTACTTTAAAAAAAAAAAACTGAAGACACTTTAAATTTCTAAAGACAAAAGATTAATAAAAGTAACTTTACTTTTCAAATGTGACTTTTTAACAGCAAAGTGGAAAAGTGGTAAACAGTCTCCATTAAAAAAAAAAAAATTCAGTATTCCCAACAAAACTAAAGATAGGCTTATATATAGCACTAATTCAGAAAGGGGATGGGGGGGCGCCTGGGTGGCTCAGTCGGTTAAGTGTGCCTTCAGCTCAGGTCATGAGCCCCCATGTCGGGCTTTCTGCTCAGTGGGGAGCCTGCTTCTCTCTCTCCCTCTGCCGGCTGCTCCCCGTTTGTATTCTCTCTCTGTCATAAATATATAATATCTTTAAAAAAAAAGGGGGGGTATAATACATAAGACATGGACAAAACACCTTATTTTAATCCAAAAAAAGTATTTACTGAATCTTATATTCAAGTTTTCAATATGCCATTTGAGATAAATTATCCTTGAAAATAATTAAACCATTCAATATAATCTCTGAAATAGTATCTAGTTAACATAATATTTGCCTTAAGTATACCAGACAAATATTTACTATCAGCAAAATAAAAACAAAGCATTTTTGCATCTGAAAGCCTGACATTCTGATCCACTGGATTTAGATTTTTTCCTAAGTATAATAATATTAAAAAATCTCTTTGGGTACTCAACATATTAGAAGTACAACTACCTATTTATAATTGCTAACTTCAAACAATATGACTCATCAGTAAACACCAACACAATACTTTAGCAATCATCTTATGTGGAATGACAAGTGGAAAACAAAACAACAATGGGTCACCAAATTCTTTCATCTGTTACTATAAAAAAAAATTTATTTAAAAAACCTAAATACACAAACATGATTAAACATTTAAAAATTAAACTGAAGTAAGTTATAAGACTTCCTTTTTCCCTTTTACAAGGAAAAAAAAGTTTGAAACATAAAAGGTCAAATTTAGTTCTAAATATTTTCTTGGGTTTTTTTTTAATTGTTTCTAATACTATTTTATTAAATTATTTATCCAGTCGCTTCTTTAGGTTCTCAAGGTGTTCCATTTCAACATCTTGTAATGCCAGTACCACTGCTTTAGACAAGGAGGGATTATATGAAATAGTCATTAAACAGCACAAATCTATTAAATCTCTCTGACACTTCTGCAAACCATCCAGGAACTTCTGGTATTGAAGAGGATCTTTTTTTAACTGTTTCATTTCTGGTACTGAAAACCCTATCAAACTAGTAAGTATTTCATCTACAAAGTCTACATCTAGATATGCAGTACCATCGGAAATCTTTGCTGTTATACTCCAAATGCCACCAGAACTTGAAAGATTTCCAGTTAAGGTTACAATAAATGCTTTGACCTTCACTGTTGTAACTTTCTTTGGTTTGCTGGCCATTAGAACAGACAAATAGATAAAGGGTGGAGAATATAAATCCATGGCAATAGAAAGATTAGCGCTGTTCTCTGATGATCTTAAAGAACAAGTCTGTAAATGGTAATCATTTTCATTAGAAATGTGTGAACTCCTTTTTGGTACATAATTTACCAGCTCTCCATTTGATATTGATATTTTATTATTTAAGGAATGTCCATCTGCACTACTGAAGGTTTGTTTTATTTTATTATCTGTCTCTGAGTCCTCACCTTTATTTGTAAAATCATGGGGAAGGGGTACATTATGAACTGAAAAAATACTACTGCTTTGCTCTCCAGCAGACGGACAACTAAAAGATTTGCCTTCATTAGTCATTTGTTCAGACACATTTTTTTCATTCCAAATACTGTTTCCATTTTTGCAAATCAAAGAAAAATTATCTGGAGTATTAGGTTTATGTGAAAATCTCTCTATACTTTCATCTGGGGTTCTGTTCAAAGTCAATGGCTGTAATTCTTTAGTCTTCATTTGTTCTTTCTGGACAGTTTCTTCTAAAAGCAAAGCCTCCTCCAGTGAAAAGTCATCTAATTCCCCATCAGTGAAATACATAGATTGATTTGGTGGCTCCTCCTTTGGTTTTGGAGAAATAATATGTCGTGGTTCAAAACTTGACTGCTTTGTGGGAATAGTATTTGAGGAACTACCTGTACTGAAACATCTTCTTTCTAAGGAGGTGTCATTATATGCTACAAGCTCATCATTTTCATCAAGACTTGCCAAGAGTTCTTCATCAGAAGGTCCTAATGCAGGATCTAGAACATCTGTAATTCCAGGGATGCTCTGGTTAGGATTATTTGGTATGACTGAAACTATAGGATCAGGTTCCCCAACTAATCTTGCAAGTACTTTTTCTTGGGCATATTCCTCTAAAAGAGCATCTACTTCTCCTCCCAACACCTTCACATTTTCTGGTTTCAATAAGAGAACACCAAGACGGAAAGAAATGTTTCCATAAATCAGAATTTTTGTACCTGGCGGAAGATCACTATGAAGAGCTGGAATAGACTGATATTCCATTCCCTGCATTTGTACTATTCCATCAGTTAGCTGTAGCATCAACATTCGTGAAGGCTTTGCTTCCCAAGGTTTTGGGGTTACTTGTGTTTCAGCTGTAATTAGGTCATTCGTTGTATTCTTTCCTCTCAACTTTTGTATCTGGGAATACGCAGGTTGACTGACATCAACCAATGAATTAATCTGCAGAGCGAAAAATCCATTCAGTTCTCCTTTTGGAACTTCTAAAATGCCATCAGGTAAAACAGGATGTTCCAAATCTCTCAGATCAGTAAGAAGCCATTGCTCAAACACTTGTTTATTCATTTGTGCCTGACTCAAATTAACATTATCATTTTCTTCTTGGATCCAGTTAATACAAGCTTCCAGCCACATTAGAGGTACTTTAACATGCCATGTAGCTAAAAGCCAGGTTTCAACTCTTAATGCAATATTAGTTACACTCATTTCTTTTAAAATAAAAGAAATTATTATGCATGTATTACCTGAAAACAAAAAAACAAAAAAAAATTATGATAATTAAGTACATTTAAATATAGTTTCTACAATTTTCTACAACCCACAGGTATAACCACACCCATTAGATTTTTCTCTCTTTAGCATCTTAAAATTCTTTGACTTTCCGCATGGCCAAAATTCAAATACCACAAGTCATCAGATGATACAGTGAGAAAAGCAAAAGGTTTGAGACAGATATTTCAGGTTTGAAAGCTAACTGTCAAATTACAAGCTCTGTGACCTAATATAAATCTCTTAACTTCTCTAACCCAGTTTTTTCATCTGTAAAGTGTCAATACAACCAATCTATCGTCAAGGGTTGTTGTGAAGATTATATGATTAACATTTGTAAAGCATAACGTCAAACCTATGAAAGATAGCCGGTAAAAGGTAGTTATTATTATATTAATAATCAGATTCTAATCACTTAAAATTTAGTCAAGAAACAATAGTCACTAAGGTTCTCTTCACATCTATAATTCATATTCTATTAAAACTTTTACCATTGTGTTTGCCCATCTAGTACTTAAATATGTGGTCTATGATAAAAATATAACAAATAACAATAGATTCTGAACTGATGTAAAGAATCTTATTTGTTTGGCTAAATAAATCTCAACAGTCCTATACTTCTGATTTTCTCAGTATAAAAGTGGTTTCAAAACACTAAACACTAATTAACCCTGTGTTCATAAAAGTATTTTTTTTCCTCCCACAGATGAAAATATATTTATATTATAATTTAAAATTTATAAAAGTTTTAATATGACCACAAGAAAACTTACCATTTGGAACAGGAACATAGGATTTGATGACAGGATTTGGAACTGGTTGTTCAGTGGAGTAACTGTTACCTCTACTGTTCAGAAATGGCCCTGGGACAAGAAGCGGTAAGGGTTAAAAGGCGAAGCTGCAGAAAGAATACTGGTCTATTTGCAGGAGTGTAAGAGTTTGGTGTATGGTTTTGGGGGTTCCTATTATCAGTCAGGGCAGAGTGGAGGTAAAATAATAAAAACATGAGGTTTGGAGTGAGCTAAACAGAAGCAAGTGACCATGAGAAATTTATATAGTCCGAGTGTGCTTCCTTGTCTATATGCTTAACCTCATAGAGTTACTTGTAAAAATTAAAAAAGATAGGAAAGGATGGCCCACAAGGCACTGGCACAGGCACATATCTTGGGCACCTGGGTCAGGTGACCCAAGGGAGTGATCCAGCTAGCCTCAGCATCCCCACCACCAAGGCCAGTCAGTCACAGGATTTACAGCAGCTTCTACAGGCTGGGAAGTGGGTGCCCAGAAAGTGTCCAAGGTCCACATGCAAAATAAATGGAAGCTGAAGCAGGCCAAGGCAGCTCAAGCTGAAATAGAATAGTACAACCTACAAACAGAGAAAAGTGTCCAAGGCTGAGGAAATTAGGATTCTGGGATCCCATGGCAGGGGTAGTACTGAAGTGGAGAAGGAGACTCAAGAGATGATGACCATCCTCCAGCCCTAATTCCATTAAAACAGGGATTAAGTCCTAGATAACCTCTTGGCCTTTGAGACATCAACCAGAAATCCATAAAGACTACCACATAAATGGACAGGGGAAGAAGAAAGAAGTGCCTGTTCCAAGGATTAGAATTTTGGATGCCTTCATAGAATATGAAATTTTAGCAAAGCTTGAATTATATTCTTGTGAAAAGGCAGTAAATTATTTCTGTATATTATATAGGAGGTCCTTTTACTTTTTGGAGAATAATAAATCTAGCTTCTTTGTATGAACTTAAAGCTTATCTTAATGTAAATGGTAACTATAGTTAATAATACTGTACTTCTTATTTGCAAACTGCTAAAAGAGCAAATCTTAAAAGTTCTCATCACAAGAAAAAAAATTCTGTTAACTATATATGGTGATGAATGTTAACTGGACTTATTGTGGTAATCATTTCACAACGTATACAAATATCAAATCACTATGTTGAACCACTGAAAGTAATAGAATGCTGTATATCAATTATACCTCAATTTTTTAAAAACACACACACACCAAAAAAGAGCTTACCTAAAGATTTCATTTTTTTACCTTGTATTTCTTAGAAATTTAATACGCATACATTGTCTGGTTCCCTATGTCTTTTAACTCAAGCAACATACACATCAATAGTGACTTTTTCTTTATTAGATGTAAAATAAATTTTTTGGAAATAAAAAGGGAGGGGGAATTACATGGTTTTCCCCCATAAAGCTTTCTTGAGGATCAGCGGCTTTATCTATGAGAAAGTAGTAAATAGTTATTTGTAACCTGTGTTAAGCAGCAGACAGCCTTAAAATAGTCCTTCCTGGCTAAGGGTTAGAACAATAGGGGCACCTGGATGGCTCAGTCAATCGAGCACCTGATTCTTGATTTTGGCTCAGGTGGTGATCTCGGAGCCCTGAGTTGGGCTCCATGTTGAGTGTGGAGCCTCCTTGCGATTCTCTCTCTCCTTCTCCCCTCTGCCTCTTGTACACATGCATGTGCTCTCTCTCTCTCTCTCTCTCTCTCAAATAAATAAGTAAATACATACATACATACATACTAGTATAATTGTTTGGGCTGCTTTTAGTTCCTCTTAATCAAAATTGCTATATGACAGAATTCAAGAACTGGTTACATGTTATTACATGTTATTATTGGGTATACTGATGATCATTTAAAAGTAAAGACTATCATGCACAAAAGCAAAATAAAACAAAATAAAATAGATGGGAGAGCCAGTATATAGTCTAGTGATTCAGAGTATAACTGCCAAATTGTCTCACACTTATAAACTTTGTGACCCTAAACAAGTGATCACATTATTAATTTAACAAATGGTTACAATTTAAAGGAGTTATAGTTGTTTTACATGAATAACATTTTAAAGGAAGGGCTAAGAAGGTCATTATAATTACAGAACTGGTGAATCTTTAGAGTGAAAAAAATTAGAATATATATATTTTTAATTATATACAAAAAATATATAAAATTTCAAAGGTAGGAAAGGTCCCTGGCCCATTGTGATGAAAACTGACCATGTAGAGATTGATCAAAAGACTCTTTAAGGCATTTAAGACTATGGCACCCCTATCCCAAGTCAGAGAGACTGCTCCTAGAGAGGGTAAAAAAGATCTCTAGACTAGGGGATGCCAGAGTACAGCTGAAGTGGAAATAACTTACTGAAAATAGGGGGAAGAAGTAAATTCCTAATTCCTAAATGCTGAACACATATTACTCTCTTTTCCAGAAATACCACCGACTAGGCCTATACTCTCCTAGAAAGAAGACAAGAAAATCTTTTTCTAAGCAATCTTACTACCTTAACAGAAAAGACCTAAGGATATTAACACAAGAGGTTCTCCAATTAAACAGCCCATTTGAGACTATCCAGACTCAGAGTTTCAACCAGCTTTCTAGTTCCCCTCTTAACTATAACAAGATATCTGAGAAAAGCTTTTAACAGTAAGGCACATCAAACAAACAAACAAACAAAAAATGCAATGCATTGACTATGAAGAGAGACAAAAACTTCAAAAAAGCTATCATTAATATCCTAAGAAAGATTATTGTCTGTGTAGTAAGAACAGGATTCTGTAACAAGAAATATTCATAGGATAAAAAATAACTCTTAGAAATTTAAAATATGATAGTGGAAATGAAAAACAGTAGAACGAATGGAAGATAAAGTTAAGAAAATCTCTTCCAAAAGTAAAACATCAGTACAAAGAAATCAATGAAACACACAGGGAAAAAAAAGAATAGCCCAGTTAGTCTAACAGACTAGGAGTTCCAGAAGGAGAAAAGAGAGAAAACAAAGGAGGGAGGGGGAAGGGATAATCAAAGAAATAAATTAAGAAAAATGTCCAGGGATGCCTGGGTGGCTCAGTCGGTTAAAGCCTCTGCCTTCGGCTCATATTATGATCCCAGGGTTCTGGGATCAAGTCCCACATCGGGCTCCTTATTCAGTGGGGAGCCTGCTTCTCCTTCTGCCTGCCGCTCCCCCTGCTTGTGCTCTCTCTGATAAATAAAGAAAATCTTAAAAAAAAGAAAAATTTCCAGAACTTAAAGATAAGAGCCTCTGGATGGAAAGAACCCAATACAATGAATAAAACAGACATACAACAAGGCATTATCTTTATGAAATTTAGAATGCAGGGATAAAGATGCTGCAAGCTTCCAGAGAAGGATGATAAACAATGAATGAAAATGGTTTTACATGAGAGACGATGGACTCTGAAAAACAAACTGAGGGTTCTAGAGGGGTGGGGGTGGGAGGATGGGTTAGCCTGGTGATGGGTATTAAAGAGGGCACGTTCTGCATGGAGCACTGGGTGTTATGCACAAACAATGAATCATGGAACACTACATCAAAAACTAATGATGTAATGTATGGTGATTAACATAACAATAAAAAATTTAAAAAATGGTTTTAGATTTCTCAATAGAAGCTGGAAGGTAAATGAACAATTCCTTCAAATTTCCAATGAAAATTATTTCCAACCTATAAACCTCTACCCAGGCAAAGCATCAATCAAGTATGACAGTGAAATAAAAACATTTTCAGATCAGCATTGTCTAAAACAATTTTTGTAATGGAGGATGTGCTCTAACATAATAGAGAAATAAACCAGGAAAGAGGAAGAAGTGAGGGGAAAAGCATTATAGTGAGAAGTATTTGCAGGATGTAAAGGCAAACAGCTCAGAAGGCCTGAGGAGAAATTATTTTTCAAAGAAGATAAAATCATGTGAGACCACTATTTCTAGGATCTCATGTCTTTCTCTTTCTTGGTTTACACCTCTGTTAGTTAGAACATTAACGTATCCCAATGTAGAGGAGAAATTTAAGTAACCACAAGAGTTAGGGGTTGATCTGATGAAAAATGGTAGAGAAAACAAAAAAAGGCCACAAGAGAAAAGAAGATGTTGTACAGGAAAGATAAAGCAATATTTGTATACTACGTGGCTTAGTTCTAAATAACATGTGTGTTGGGCGCCTGGGTGGCTCAGACGGTTAAGCGTCTGCCTTCGGCTCAGGTCATGATCCCAGGGTCCTGGGATCGAGTCCCGCATCGGGCTCCCTGCTCCTTGGGAGACTGCTTCTCCCTCTGCTTCTCTCTCTCTCTCTCTCATGAATAAATAAATAAAATCTTTAGGAATAAATAAATAAATGTGTGTAGTAATAACAGACACTCTAAATTATCTGACAGAAATTTTAACATAGTTATACAGATTTAATAGCAAAATGGAAAAGATATGTGTGAGGGTAGGGGTGGGTGAGAAAGGTAGGTGGAGAGAGCTAAATTCTCATCTCTATAGTAAAAGTCAACAGATAATGCCTAAAACTGAAAAATCAAGATGTAGCAATATCTGTATGGTTTCCAGAGTTACAGAAGTAAATACAAAAATCAATCTGCTAGAGAAGTTGAAAGTGGTTGCTTTCAGGGAAAGGGAACAAAGGAACAAACAAATCTGCTATTTTTCAAAATAATTCTTTAAAGTTTGATTTTTAAATATATATAAAACTTTTTATTTTAATCTTCTTCCATTGATTTCTTTGTACTGATGTTTAACTTGGGGGGGTAAGATATTAACTTTACCTTTCATGTGCTCTACTGAGTTTTTCATTTCATTAGAAATAAACAAAATAGTACAAAAGTATGTATGTTTTAAAATTAAAGGTATGAATTATAATAGCGATATATTGGGAGAGATGGTAGCTACACCTGTGGTGAACGTAGCATAATACATAAACTTGCTGAATCACTGTTGCACACCTGAAACTAATATAATATTGTATCAACTATACTAAAAAAAAAATTAAAGGTATGAAAGACAAAATGCTTTCCCCCTGAGATCAAGAATAAAACAGATGTTGG